CCCCAAAACCCCAAAACCCCAAAACCCCAAAACCCCAAAACCCCAAAACCCCTTATAAAATTATAAGGTTTGATTTAGATTATAATCATTATAAAGATGCTTGGATTCAGATATTCTGGGATGTTATCCAGACAAATTAAGAGCATTAGCAAAATCAGATTAGGTAAGCAATCGGTTGCTATATGCCACCTCAGCCTTGTCAACATAAGGACTGTGTCTTAGACCTTTTAGCCCTGCTTTTGTTAAGAAAGTGACTTTTCTAATGCTTTAAATTTAGATCCAATCGCTAAGAGAGGAATTATGGTACTGAACAAAATTAGAAGACCCATCCTTCCAGTTGCTTCTTATGGAGGAATGACAGGGCAAAGAAATTTCACAGCTTTGTACTACGAAGAACTGTAAGTAACCTTCTTGGAATGAGCTCATATCCTCCAAAAGTCTTAATTTGGCATGGAATGTATAAATGAATCTTGTTAATTTTATTTTAGCTTCAAGAAATACATGAAAGATCCAACCAGTGTTAGTCCAGAGTGGAGGAGTTACTTTGAAAACAAGGATGAATCTGCCTTGTTCCCAACGAAGCCTCAGAGATTACCAGAAATTTCAAGAGGACCTTCAACTGCAAGCAATGAGTTAGTCTCACTTTTTTCCCAGCTTATCGGCAAGGGAGGTATTGCTGCAACAGGCAGCCAGAATGTTACTGAAGTTGCGAGGGTGTTGAACCTGTACAGATCCTATCAAACTGTTGGTCATGAGAAAGCAAGCCTTGATCCCCTCGAGCTTAGGAAGACCTACGGAAATATCCTTCAGTTGGGTAAAAGGAAGAGAGACAACACTGAAAGACTTGATTACAGATTCCATGGGTTCACTGACGACCAGCTTGAAAATGAAATTTTTATCGGTAACTGAAATTTTGTTAATTTATTTCCTGAAATTCATATAAGATATCTAAAAAAATTGATCACTTTGATAACTTCTCAAAACTCATTGTGATCTAGACTCAAACTACCAGAGAGGGTTCCTTTCTCAGAAGAAGAACTGGAAGCTAAAGGATCTTATCGTATCACTTGAAAAGGCATACTGTGGATCTATTGGAGTGGAGTACATGCATATGCAGAACGTTGAACAATGTAACTGGCTCAGAGAGAAGTTTGAAGAGCAAGCTTTTGATACTCCAGATAAAGAGTCAATCGTTCACGCATATGATAGACTGGCATGGGCAGTTCTCTTTGGAGACTTCCTTCAGTCTAAATATAACACTCAGAAGAGATTCGGTCTTGAAGGATGTGACTCTTTCATTCCAGGGTTGAAGGAGACTATAGATACTCTTGTTGATCTTGGAGCTGAAGAAGTTACTATCGGTATGCCACACAGAGGAAGACTCAATGTTCTTGCAAACGTTCTCAGAAAACCTCTTGATATCATTTTCCAAGAGTTCCAAGGAGAGTCAAAGGATAAGTATGCTGATTGGGGTAAATCAGGTGATGTCAAATATCATCTTGGTACCTCATACTCACGTATCTATGAAAATACTGGAAAGAAGGTAGATATCCATCTTCTCCCAAACCCATCCCATCTTGAACTTGTTGATCCAATAGTTTGCGGATACGTCAGAGGTAAACAGCATTACAAAAATGATCAAGAAAGATACAAAAATTGTGGTATTCTCATCCACGGAGATGCCGCCTTTGCTGGTCAAGGAATCGTCTACGAAACAATGCAGATGAACGACTTGTATGATTATCGTACTGGAGGAACTATTCATTTCATTGTCAATAACCAAATTGGATTTACCACTACTCAAATAGATGCTAGAAGCGGAATCTACTGTACTGATCTTGCTAAATCAATCGAAGCTCCAATCCTACATGTAAATGCTGATGATATCATGGCTGTCATGAAGTGTTGTAGGATTGCAGCTGAATACAAACAAAAGTTCAAGAACGACATTATTATTGATATTATTGGCTACAGGAAATTCGGTCACAACGAACTTGATCAGCCTTCCTTCACACAGCCACTTATGTATGAAAGAGTTAGACAGATGAAAAATGTTCTTGATAAATTTGAAGATGAAGTGATAGAACTTGGCTATTTGACAAAAGAGCAAGCTCAAACTGAATATAGAGACAGAATCTGGGCCAATATGAATGAGAAGTACAACATTGCTAGACAGAAGGAAGCCGATAAGGCCGAATGGGAGGTCACCGAATGGGATACTATCAGAAGGCCTGAGAACATGGCAGAATTCAGAAATACGGGACTTCCTATTGATAAGTTGAAGGAGATTGGGAAAAATATATCAACCATTCCAAAGGATTTCGACGCTCACAGAATGGTCAGGAAGATCTATGATACTAGATACAAGAGCATTGAGGAAGGACAAGGAATTGATTGGGGAACTGCAGAGGCTCTTGCTTTTGCTACTCTTATTGACGAAAACTTCCACGTCAGAGTCTCAGGACAAGATGTAGAAAGAGGTACCTTCTCTCACAGACACGCAGTTGTTCATCATCAAAATGCTGATGAAAAATTCATCCCTCTTGGTAAGAGTAGTGAAGGAACAGCTAGGAAATTCATTGCTTCAAACTCTCATCTCTCTGAGTTAGCTGTACTCGGTTTTGAATATGGATACTCACTTGTGAATCCTAACTCCCTGACAATTTGGGAAGCACAGTTCGGAGATTTTTATAATGGAGCACAAGCTGTTGTCGATCAATTCATCAGTTCTGGAGAAGCCAAATGGGATGTCTCAAGCGGACTTGTTATGCTCCTTCCTCATGGATATGACGGAGCTGGGCCAGAGCACTCTTCTGGAAGAGTTGAGAGATTCCTTGAAATGTGTGATGATGATCCAGATACCATTCCAGAATGGGGTCCATCATACTTCAACAAAAACATGAAGAGACATAACTGGCAAATTGTGAACTGCTCGACTTCTGCAAACTATTTCCATGTACTCAGAAGGCAGATGCACAGAGATTATAGAAAGCCTCTGATTGTCATGGCTCCAAAGAAGCTTCTCAAACTTAAGGATGCAGGATGCCCAATTGAAGACTTTAGAGAAGGACTCAAATTTAAGAGAACAATCCCTGAAAGAAACGAGGAGCTAGTGAAAGATGATAGCAAGGTAAAGAGAGTAGTTTTCTGTACTGGACAAGTCTACTACGATCTCAGAAAAGAAAGAGATTCTAGAAAGGATGCCGAGACTGTTATAGTCACAGTTGAGCAGATCTCTCCAGTTCCATATGATCATCTTAAAGAGGTATTTGAGAGATATCCAAATGTTAGTGATGTAGTTTGGTGTCAAGAAGAGCCAAAGAACTATGGTGCCTATAGCTATCTTGCTCCTAGATTCAGCACTCTTTTCAAGAAGCTTGGACTATCTGAAAAGTTATCCTTGAGATATTCTGGAAGAAATCCAAACAGTTCTCCAGCAACTGGATTCCACAAGGTTCATTCAGAACAACAGAAGAAACTTGTTGAGGAAGCTTTACAATAAAGGTTCTCAAGTAAGCTTTCAATACAAAAACTGTCAAAAGGGGTTTTGGGGTTTTGGGGTTTTGGGGTTTTGGGGTTTTGGGG